TTTTGCAACGGCTTGCTTCCTTTAGAAGCCATAATTTTTAGAAACTACTAGTGACTTGTGAGGTGCTTCAACTTCCCTAAGCTACCCAATAATGGTGCACGTAAACTATGTTACTTATCTTATTTGAGCATACAAGATTATAACTGTTAAACTAGAAGAGTTTATACTTGCGCACAGATGTGATTTACGACAGTCCTGTGCTAAGAAAACAATGCTTGAGAGCCATTTAATTCTTATTTGTTGTGTGGATTAGTTACCATCTGATTCCCTATCATGTATCCATCTTACCGCTCCTTGTACCAGGCGAAGATTGGAGAGTGGCTTACACTTGATCATAAATTTCAGAATGTTTTTGTTTAACACGCGTATCGCTTTTTCAGGAAGTGTCCCAATATCAAGATGCGTATGATACAAGACTAGAGATTGCCTCAAGTATTAACCGCAGTTATTACTCAGCTGGTTATGGCGCAGCCTATCCATTGAATTCTTCAAGAGCAGATGTTAGATCAGATCGTGCAAATATGCTAAGAGTAAGTACGGGAGACAGTAGTCGGATTAGCATATCCAGCAGCGTCCCTAGTTCTTCCAGTCAAGGTTCTGGACCAGATGATATAGAATCCCTTGGTGATGTTTATGTATGGGGTGAGGTGTGGACTGATGTGCTCCCCCCAGATGGATCCTCAAACTTTTTGTGCTCCAAAACAGATGTTTTGATTCCTAAACCTCTTGAGTCGGATGTTGTTTTGGACGTACAGCAGATATCATGTGGTTCGAGGCACATTGCTCTTACTACCAGACAAGGAGAAGTATTCACTTGGGGTGAAGAACTTGGTGGGCGGCTTGGTCATGGAACTGATGAAGATATTAGTCGCCCCAAACTTGTTGAGTCTTTAGCAGTGTCCAACGTGGAGTATATTGCATGCGGAGAGTTTCATACTTGTGCTGTAACTGCCTCTGGTGATTTGTACAATTGGGGTGATGGTTCTTACAATGCTGGATTGCTAGGACATGGCCTTGGGGCTAGCCACTGGCTTCCAAAGCGAGTGTCAGGACCTTTAGAAGGGCTTCAAGTGTTGTCTGTTGCATGTGGCTCGTGGCATTCAGCACTTGCCATGTCAAGTGGAAAAGTATTCACTTTTGGTGATGGGACATTTGGTGCTCTTGGGCATGGAAATCGTGATAGTGTTTCCTATCCAAAGGAAGTTGAATCTTTGAGTGGGTTCAGAACGATGAAAGTTGCATGTGGTGTTTGGCATTCCGCAGCAATTGTGGAGACCAATAGTCAGACAGGCATGAATGTGGTATCCAGGAAGCTATTCACCTGGGGTGATGGAGATAAGAATCGCTTGGGTCATGGAGACAAGGAGGCTCGGCTAGTTCCCACTGTTGTTCAAGCCCTTGTTGATAATAATTTCCATCAGGTAGCCTGTGGACATAGTATGACTGTTGCACTCGCCACATCTGGTCATGTCTTCACAATGGGTAGCTCTAGTAATGGTCAACTTGGGAATCCAAAAGCCGATGGTAAACTACCTTGCCAAGTACAAGACAAGTTGAACAGTGAGTTGGTTGAAGAGATCTCATGTGGCTCTAACCATGTTGCAGTCTTGACTTCACGGAGCGAAGTATATACCTGGGGTATGGGGGCCAATGGAAGGCTGGGACATGGTGGTATTGAAGATAAAAAGAAACCAACTATCGTGGACGCGTTAAAAGACCGTCACGTTAAAAGTATAGCATGTGGTTCAAATTTTACGACATGCATTTGCATACATAAGTGGGTTTCAGGCGCAGATCAGTCTGTCTGCTCAGGGTGTAGGCAACCATTTGGTTTCACAAGAAAGCGGCACAATTGTTACAATTGCGGGCTTGTGCATTGCCATGCATGTAGTTCAAGGAAGGTCCTGAAGGCTGCGTTGGCACCAACTCCTGGCAAGCCACATCGTGTATGTGATTCATGTTTCATGAAACTGAAAGCTGCAGATAGCGGCGGCACTAATAGTCCATATAATAACAAAAAGAGTGTCATGACTCGTCGATCTGTTGATATCAAAGATAAGTCAGAGAGGCCAGACATAAGGCCTTCAAGGCTAGCAACAGCAGCAACAGCAGAGCCAGTCAAGTATGCGGATGCAAAATCAGTTAGAAGTGAGATGAAACCTGACCCTGTGTCCAATGCGAGGGCACCCCAAGGTCCTGCTACAGCTTTGGCAGTCCCAACTAGTTTTGTAAAGCCTATGGGAATGGGAGGAATGGGAGGAATGGGGGGAATGGGCGGAATGGGTATGGGAATGGGAATGGGAATGGGAGTAAACATGGCGCCAATGGGAATGGGCATGCCCGTGGTGTCACAATCTCATAAGAAGCCAAGTCCATCTCCAGCAATGACGAGTGCTCTGTCTGTTAAAAGTGACACCAAAGATATCGATAACCTGAAGAAGACTAATGAGACGCTGAATCAAGACATCTCAAAGTTGCAAACTCAGGTATGATTTAGAAGTCTAGGTCTAGGTCTTTTTTTTTTCTTTTTTTACTGTATCTTCTTGGCTTTAGCACGGTTAGCTGATTTTGATAAAATCATATAATTTTGATAGGTTAGTAAGCTAAAACAGAAATGTGAAGTCCAGGATGAGCAACTACAGAAAACAGAAAGAAGAGCTAAAAGCGCTGCCTCTCTAGCTGCAGAAGAATCTACCAGACGCAATTCCATGTTGGACTTTATTAGGTTTCTTGACACAGAGGTATAGTAGACTACTACTTCAAGCTACGTACGCAACTTGAACTTTATTGGAGCCCTCTTGTACCTATCATGCTGCCATATTTATTGTGCTTTCTTCTATGGTACACCACTTAAAGTGTTCACACCTCTATATAATTAATCCAATAAAAATACAATAAGAGGTGTGCTTCAGGGATAATCAAATGAAACGAGCAATGAGGTATTACTTTTGTATTTAGTGGCTCATATAGCAAGAGTTGTTCCATGTTTTGTCGATCTGTATTAGTGGATACTCATAACTTCACATCCTTTCAATATTCAGCTCAAAGGGATTGCAGACAAGGTGCCTGCTGAATTCTCTGACAGTATCAAAGACTTGCAAAGCCAATCAGAGAAGTATCTCACTGGACAGTGTAGTCATCCACCGGAGGCCATTTCTGGAAATGAACAGCCTCGCCTCCCCATTGGCGGGATGCATGAAATAACACACCATGGCAAGTCAGCTAGCATGGGTAACCTGGATGGCACTTCCTTGACAAGCGAATCTCCATGCCATCGAATCATGGAGAGCAATGGGAGGGCTCCAGGCGACTTTGCACCAAAGTATGGCACCCATGGTGAGGTGCAGCTGATCGAGCAGTTTGAGCCAGGAGTTCATGTCACACTTATTCAGCTGAGAGACGGCACCAAAGTATTCAAGCGTGTCCGGTTCAGGTACTCCATTCCCACCCCTTTTACTGCTTTATGCATACATCTCAACTTTTTTTTTTCTGAGAGTGAGGGGCATACATCTCAACAACTTGTTCGAGGCATCTGTACCACATAACAACCCAATAACAAAACTCTGAAGGTGGCAAGGTGCTAGTGCATATTTACTTACGGTTCTTTCTCTTGAAAACCTTTGTTAGCAAGAGGAGATTCGCCGAGCAGCAGGCCGAGGAGTGGTGGAGGGAGAACCAGGAGAGGGTGTTCAGGAAATACAACCATGCACCTACGTAGGCTCCTCGGCTCAGCATCTTCCACCTACGCGAGACGAATCGCGCCGTTGATGCTCGGGATTCCGTGTTCCCCACTGCCAGCTGACGTTTAGTCTGAAGATCCTGGCGACTGTTTGTTCTTTTGACGATCAATCTTGTGTTTTTTTTCTTCTTCGTTTTTTTGCTTCTTTTGGAGATCTGTTTCATTTCCATACCCTTGAGCCTATTTGCTGGGAACGTGTGTTCAGGTTGGGAACACTTGCTTGTGGCTTCCCAGCGAGGTAAAATAGTTTGTGTCGAACGGTGTAATCCCCGCGGACAAATATTATTCGAGAAAGTATGTATAAATGAATGTAAGGCAATAAGTCCGCACACGAGTTATGAAGCTGAAGGGCATTTTTCAGTAGTAGCAAACAAATTAGAAATTAATGTTGTGTTTGCTTCAAGCCCAAGCCAAATCAACCAGAATTTTTGGTTTTGGTCGTGTCACTGTTGGTAAGAAAATCAAACTAGAATTGGCTATGGAACATATGCGTATCAAAACATTGGCAGCCATCCAAAAGTGTCAAAATTTTGCTTGTGCAAATTATGAAGCTGAACCTCATTCTTGGTAACAGTGTAATCGCGAAAATTCAGACTAGATCCATAAAGTTAATAAGGCCGCATGGCGTTCATCTCAACATTGAACAGCAGTACAATAAAGTAGGAAAACCATTAAATACCAAGACAAGGATACTCTTTGTTCGACAATCAGAAGGATCCTTTTCGACTTTCCACCTTTTCGTTAATTCGGAATCTGGGTTTTTGAACATGTCACGCGTGCTTCAGGAAACAAGCCCTCCCATGGAATTCAAATTTCCATCACCATGAATCGGTCGAATTAAAAAGATGCGACAAAAAACCAAGCATCACAAAACATAGCACAAGGTCACAATCGGTTCATCCAATGATATATATACTATACAAACTGACCATGCTACAAAAAAATCATCACACATTCAATCATATGATGCAAATTTGATCATGTACATGGAACAACGACAACTCCAACACATCATATACCGTGGTGATTTCAGGATCCTCAGCCTCAGCAGTCCGCAGCCCAATATACAAACAGATATACAGCACGCCTTCTTTTCCCATACACAAATTACATGCATTTACGCCCATGACATATACATAAATATGTACGAAGGGTCAGCTCTGCGCACGGAGAGCATGATCGTCCGATCGATTCCAGTATTTACGCACCAACAGCTCCGCCGATGAAGTGTCTCCCTCCCCCTCATCGTCGTTTAAGCTCCTCAAAAGCAGAATTTCTTCTTCTGCAATGCGTATATGCACGAAGGGCACGCATTAGTACAGAAGAGGTAGCAGAAGACCTTAAAGATGGTAGTACCATCTTCAGGTGTCTGGAAAAAATAACGGCGTGGGCTGACTGCGACATACGCGGAACTTGAGCATGTCTTGCTTGTCGATGAATGCGAGCAGCTCGTCCTGACGCATCAGCGCCTCGTAGAGGGCCTGTAGATGAAAACCAGAAGAAACAATTCATCATAACCTTGTTGATTTATTACAGGAGTACATATCTCTTTAAACATAGCAAATTCAGACTAAATCCGTAAAGTTACTATGCTTTAAGCCAAAAAAAAGCCTACCTTCTTTGTAGAAATCAAGTCGGCTTCCAAGGCGTCCACGCGGCGGGCGGACGCATTGAGCAGCTCTTCCTTCTCGAATGGCATCTCGGATGGCTTTTTTTCAAGCGCCTGCACCTTCTCCTCCAGCTCACCTAGCCGTCTTACCAGAGTTGAAAGGATATCCTTCTCTGTGTAGGCCGGGGCAGGAGACGGAGGTCGGAACTCCTCCTTGTACTCTTGCTCTTGAGGGCAGTCCACGTAATAGTGGTCGTGATCATTGGATTGGTTCGAGAGCCTTTTGGCCATTCTGCTCGGGATACTTCGAAGCATGGCGAAAAGGGTCACGATGAAGACTGTCAGCCATGCGACAGCCAAGGTCCGAATTCCTTCGAATGTGGTCGGCAGATTTCTCAAGGATAATGAACCTGGGTAAACATGTTAAGAAAACAGGTTAATCAACAAACACACAATACACGCTTGCATATCAATCAAGCGGTAGGGTTATTTTCAGGGTTACACTCTAATAATAGCATGATTAGACTAAACTAATAAAATAGAAGTAGCTCAAAGGGTTATGGTGGTACATGTATTTGTGGATAAAAAATAACTCTATAGATAATTTATGTAACTATCTACTATGTAGTTAAAACTTAAAAGTATACCAGTGCATAGGAATGCACAGACTACCTCTTGGAGTCGATAACTATTTTTTTTCTGGAATACACTCATAACTATTTTGAAATAAAAGTAAGAAAAGGTCTAGTTATTTTGGACAACTTGACAAGGGCTTTCCATGAAAGTAAAAAGTAAAGCAACAACATAAAATACCAGAGGAAGAAGACACTGGACTAGCTCTGGGGCTGCTCCATCCGTCGTCCACAACCTTGTCAACAACAGGGATGCTGTCTTCAATAGTGGGGTGAGCAGCAGACGTGGATGCATGTGCTGCAAATTTTGACTGAAATAGTAAGAGGTTACCTGTTAGAAACATGTATTGCAGTATTAAAGGTGGCACTAAGTAGTAGCCATGGGGTATCTTCCATGGTTGTCTGGATAGCATATTTATACAAATTCTATATTACTCAACATTGGAGTATTTGGATGCAAGGGCCTTTGCAGTTCAAATGAATGTTAAAAGAATAATTCCATTTGCCTTTGTTAATAGAAGCATTTGATCAATTTCAGTTCAAATGAGTGTTAAAAGAATAATTCCATTTGCCTTTGCTAGTAGAAGCATTTGATCAGTTTCAGTTCAAATGAATGTTAAAAGAATAATTCCATTTGCCTTTGTTAGTAGAAGCATTTGATCAGTTTCAGCAAATGGAAGCTCTGTTAGATGGCCTTATCCTTGGGGATGAGCCTGATTCTTGGTAATTTCCAGTAAATGTCCAGCAATTCAGGATCAGGCTTAAAAGCTATTACTTGGAGATTCCATTTCAATTCTTGCCACCACCTGGCTTTGGAGAACTTGTAATGAGCTCAAGCACCCAATATTTTTCTGGCTACTTCTGAATGATAGACTGAACACACTCCTAGAGGAAGAACTTCATTCAAGATTACACTTGTGTCATGTGTGATCACTATGTTGTGGAATCAAGGGATCACCTCTTCTTCCATTGCCCATTTGCTGAAATCTGTTGGAAGAACATATGCCCCAGTTGGACAGCCTTGTCAGCTGGGATTCAAGATCAAATTGGCAATATCAGGCATCTGCTGAATCTGCCCTTTGCTATGGAAATAATCATTCTAGTTGCTTGGGCCATTTGGAATACTATAGGAATGCTTACATTTTTAGGGCTGTTCCTCCAAGTTTTTATGCTTATAGAAAACACTTCGAGGAGGAATTGCAACGGCTGGTGCTCAGGGCCAAGAGGAAATCATATGGGTCACTTCCAGACTGGGTGCAGAACTTCAGATAAGCATCATTCTTGCTCTTGCTTCCTTCAGCTATATATGTTGTTATATCTGCTTACAGTTTTAGCTTCTAGGCTCTTAGATAGATGGTTAGTTTTTTTTCCTTACTTTTACTTCTTCACTGTAATTAGACTTTGCTTCTTTTGAGAAAATATATAAAAATATACCGTGGGAAGAAATTCCTATAAAACAGTTTCAGGTAAAAAAATTGTAAAAGAATAATCATACTTTGGTGATCATTTTTCAAAAAAAAAAAACTTTTCCTGTTTACATCATTCGCTATATTTAGTTGACAATGTTACTGATGCAGACTATGCTGAACTGCTGATAATGCCAGGTTTCTTGATTGTACGCTCAACATGTGATATATACTTGCCTCCTCATGTACAGGGGTCAAAGAAGGGTTCGTTATGAGGGTCTTTGGTGCAGTAGGAGATGTAACATCTTCCACTTCAGACCCAGACTCAGCAGATGCATCACTGCCCTTTCCCTGCTTTAATAGTAACATAGTAAGTATTCATTACAGATTGAACAGATGGTTCAACAACTCTTCATGTCCAACCAAGCTTATATAACTTACATTTGGGCGCTGTGGCCTAGCATAACCGATGATCTTGCCATCAGTGCCTGATATGGTCACGATTTGTCTGTCGTAGTTTGCCTCGCCATTCAGGACCCTCTGGAAGAAATGAAGATGTGTCAGATTAGCAAACACAAGACGCCCAGCAAATAGCAGTGTGCATGAAATATCCTCTCTTTCTGGAGGAGGAGCTCACAACCTTTATTGTGGTGGGATCCTTCCAAGGACCTTTATCTGATCTCTGACAACCTCCATGTTCTTCACACTTGCATTTGCCACCAAAAAATTCTGGCAATTCACTGCATGAATGGAAACCAAAAAGGCATTAGTCTGGAAACCTACGAACATAGGCATGCACAGACAAGATTAAAGATTCTGACCTCTCATCGATTATTTCAAGTAGCTTATTTTGGTACTTGGTTCCAAGAACCTTCAAGTGAAAAGATTGAAATATAGTTAGTATCTGTGTACTAAATCGATTAACAATTATGCATCAAATCAATCCTACATAATAGAAATATTTACATGAATCTTTGAAGCAGTTTTCGGATCAAGAAAAGACTTTATTGTGCCCCATAACATCTTGAAGCCTTGGCCAGCATTAATTATGTACATCCGGCATAATGTCTGCAGCAGCATTCTGAACATGTTAGATACTGTACTGTTGGGCCATGAGAAGTATAATGATAAGCCCGCATGACAGGAAATAAATCTTTAAGAATGTAAATGATAGAACTGAAATTTGTGACCCAACATCCATCACAGGATCACCTACCTCTGGGTAGTTGTCACTGTCAATCTTCTGCAGTCGGGTGATTAGTTCCCTTGCACATTTCGAGAAGTTCTTCAGTCCCTTGAATTACAGAAAAGTAGTCAATTACAAAGTCTTAAAAAAATGTGATTTCAAGGTTGAGACTTGACAGCAATGTTTCGTAAAGAGCCATACCACGCCTTGCACATCCAGAATAGTTGTGCATGAGTCCAGGTGCCGTTTTGCAGCTATTGAGCAAGCTGGAAATCTCATCTGGAAACATTTCTCAAACTCCTTGACATGATATTTCACATATCGGTCTATAGTTGTTACTTGCAGCACCTTGTTGGCATCAACTTTTCCTATTAACTCCACATAGATAGGTCTTCCATCTTTATCCACCCCATGGTAAAACTGTGGATAATACTTCATAACTTCGTTTAACTCAGCGTAATCAAATTCCTGAGTAAAAAAAAAAGTGCCAACATCCTGAAGTTACTCTTAAGCAAGAAAAATGCTAAATCCATGTAATACTACATTTGTACAAGTTTCTGCTTTACCTCTATATTGTCGGTCCCAAATTCCTTTCTCCATGTAAGCATATCAGACCACATAAGCTTTGCCTTCTCAACATCAAACTTCCGTGCCTTCAGGAACCTACACATGATTGATATAAATAAACATCAGATAGTAAAACAATTATCTTTTTTTTTCGAAAATTAAAACAACTATCAATGTCTGTAATAATGATAGCCTCTTGAGCACACATAGGCAATTGACATTGGTACACGGTTTCCTAAGGTGGGGCTATTGGGAAGAAATCTACACCATACAGTCAGATTAAGACCCTGAAATCAGCAGATTCTGTACCTCAGCATCATGTGGTAATCATCATGTTGTTGTGGCAACAAGTCCTCATCATGCAAGCATTGTCGAAATGCTTCAACGGCCTGTAGATCTTGAACATCTCTTATGTCCTCGATGGAAATCTGATTTTCATTCTTCTTTTTGCTTCTCCTCCTTAGGGAATGTCTGAATTTGTTCCCTGCGTTAATTGCCTTTTTCTTGAAGGAGGCTATTTTAGTCTTCTTCTCTCCTTCTGAGTTGTCTGCATCCGATCTGCTCTCTTTCTTTCCATCATTATGTGTAAATCCTTCAAAAGCTGCGCCCAGTAATAATATGTTAATATTCCATATTGTAGTCAAAGCAAAAGCAGATACAGTTACTCTAGTAACAAAAACAGATTAGTGGGCTAGCTAGATAATAGTGTTCTGCAAGGAACTACAGCAAGAACCCATGCCAAATACAGTTACCCGTATGCTGAAACAACACTTTGTGATTACAGGTGCTAGTATGAAGATTCAGCAAGGGTGACTTGCAAAAAGGGACAGTGTCGTCAATTTTGTTCAGCACCATACAGAGTGCAAGCAGCAAGAACCTTGCACTGATTATTAGTTTTTTTTAACACAGTAGCACTGATTATTAGTTGGATGGTTTAGAACTTTGTTGGTTTATACACGTGGCATAAAAAACGCAACATGTTAATTCTCTGCATTTTTCTATACTCTACAATTTAGTCTTGTGTAGCTATCTTTGACAATGATTACCTATTAACCTTCACGCACTAGATATAATAATAACACAATCTTTTTTAAAGGAAGGTAACCTTCACGCATTAGGTAAGATGTCATTCCCATTGTAAGAGCATAGGGGATATAATATCCATTAGTGATGCCAAGTAAGAACAACTGAAAACAGAGCAGACTTCTGCTCGAAGACTTTTCCTTTTTTCACACAGGAGTTGGGTATTTTTACATGTGGACTTTTACTGTTAAATGAAGAAGATGCTCCAGGTAGCCCCAAATCCCACAATCCATATAACTATTCCAGGAGCACAATAATCAAAATACGAGCCTATTTAATCCCAAACATTGAAAATTGAAAAAAGAAACTTAAGTTCATGCAGGAAAGAGCGAGAGAACCCAGAAACTTTGAGCCCTAGGAAATTGGTTCCTCCTCCAAGTTCTAAAGGAAGTAAACACCCTAACCAACAACAATTATCCATAAAAGGAAATAAATAAACACTTTTGTACTCACATGGCCTGGCTAATCGGTCGAGGGGCCCTGACATCCCCTCCGGCTCCGGACTCGATCTCCCCAGCGAGGCTCCAGGCCCGGAATCCGCTGAAAAATCCGCGCGGAAAAACTCAGCCAACAAGACGGCAGCAAAGCGCCTACCACGCTCGAACGCCGAATTTGGATAAGGGGGGAAAGGGTTCGATCGATAATGATTCTTATTACTTACAGGCGCGTGCGAGGCGAACAATCGGGGAATTTGGTTCCCGGCGGCGATTTTTTACCGCTAGAATTCGGATTTTGGGTGCGGATTTCGGGGCGGGAGGAGGAGGAGGAGAAGCTTCTCCTTCTCCCACCGTTTTAATGGGGCGGGCGACTCCGGCAGGGAGAAGAAGAAGCCAGAGGGCAGCGGCACGGGGGTTTCCGTCACGGCGCGGGTAGACCCGGCCCATGGGCCGGGCCGGAAACGGTTGACCTGGGCGACGTGGACGTGTTCGGTACGTGGACCCGGCGCACTCGGGGTACCCACCACATAGGAATCTACTACTAGTTGTAGGATAGATCTGAGGGTGCCGTGGGGCCCGGGGCCGCTGATGCCTGCCGTTGATGCGCGCCGATCGGAGCAGTGGACGGTGGTGATGGGCTCCGGCCCATGGACCGAGTGCAGGAGGCCGCGCCCGTGACGTGACGCGTGGAAGGTGGTTTTGGCCGAGTCAGATTTGGTTGGTTGGGCAACTGCTCCCTCGTCCACTACTTTTTAATCCTGCTATAATTGTTCTACTAAAATTATAATTTATGGACTACTTTTATGCAAGTATACATTGATGATGATACAGCCTTCCTAGTTGATCAAACAAACAGATAAAACTACAAATATCTACTCCCTCCATCACAGTTTAGAAGGCACAGTTAAATTTGCGTGCGTTTTCACAATAGACAAGGTTTAGGGCGCATTGCATTTATTTCTAGTAGCTAATTAGTACTACTTCTATATGCATGCATAGTGTGAATGTTATTTTTTAGCCCATTCCACAACCAATAGATAACCACCTAGGTCGCAGAGAATTTTCAAGCGCGCTTTCTAAACCGTGACAGAGGGAGTAGCAGTCTTGTTTATAACAAAACAAACGAAACAAAAATATGTAGGCAGGGTTTGATTAGGG